CATTCCTTAACGTATGCATCGATGCACTACCTATGCGTCGGTGCACAAATTACATTCGATGCTTTCTTCTTAATGGGGTGTATCGATGCACTACTTGTGCATCGATGCACTCATTGCATTCGATGTTTAATTATTTGAGAGTGCATCGGTACATAATGAATGTGCATCGATGCACACAACCCATAAATTCCAGTTAGAGCACGAAATTCACTTTCTTTTTAGCTCAACTCTTTATATTTCATCCCCTTTTATATTCTTAACTCACACACACATATTCAAACTCATTTCTATTCATTCATCACCTCTTTAACATCAAAATCCTATTCTCCATATGTAATTCAAGAATTACACTAAATTTCCAACATGTTCCAAATTCAATTCTATTGTTTCTAACTTCTTAATTAGACATTTGATAAGTCAAATTTGGTCTGGAAATCCCATAAATGTCTTTCTACCAAGATTTCATTTATTCACTTCCTTCCTTTAATCCTTTCTATACCTTTCCTCTTATTATTTTATGACAAATTAAGCTTCCCTTAAGCTTAAGAGTCACTTAATAATCAAAACCAAGCTTAAAAATTCAATAAGAAATCAATTTACCAGAAACTCACCTTTGCTCTTGGTTTCACACGTGAAAACTAAGAGAAAGGAAGAGAACTCTGGAAACCTCTAAACTTTGTTTCATTCTTTCCACGTGTATCTATATATACCATTAATAAATATTTTTCTTTTCAAATGACCATATTATCCTTTCATTCCTCCTCCTTTTCAATTTGGTCCTACACTACATTTCTCATATAAGTCTTTAAACCATTCCATTATTCTAATTAAATCACCAAATTTTGAAACCTTACAATTTAGTCACTAACCCGGTATTGAGGATGTTACACATCAGTGCAAAGTCAGACAGCTAAATTGTATGGAGGAAGAGGAACCTAATGAATCTGCTGAACAGGATTTAACAGAATGAGAAACTGGAGAGGTGGAAGATCAAGCTAAGGAGGCCTTGGAAATTTTTATCAATGCTATTACAGGGAATGTGGGACATACTACCTTAAGGATTCAAGGTTTTATCAGAGGAAAACCTATTAATGTGCTAATTGATAGTGGCAACACCCATAATTTTGTAACTCCTAAATGGGCCAAGGAAGGGGTTGAATTAGTTCATACCCAACCATTAGTTATTACAGTAGCTAATGGGAAGAAGTTGTTCAGTACTGCTAGAAGTAATAAAGTGAGTTGAAAGATGCAGAGCTATGATTTCCAGCATGATTTCAGAGTATTATCTCTGGGAGGTAGTGACATGGTATTGGGGGTAGATTGGATAGAAGAATTCAGCCTTATAATGATGGATTTTAAAACTAAAACTATCAGTTTTGAGAAGGATGGAGAAACTATAGTTATAAAAGGGTATCAAAAGCTGCCATTAATCAGATCCATCACAGGTGAGAAATTACAGAAGTTAGCAGAAAAAAACACTGAATTGAGTGGAGAGATTTATTTGCTAAGTGCTGAAGTAGAAGACAGTGTAATTCCTTTACCATTACAAGACCTACTAGAAGAGTTTAAAGAAGTTTTTGAAGAACCAAGGGGAATGCCTCCTAGTAGGAAACATGATCATGCAATTGTCCTTAAGCAGGGAACACAACCAGTAAACCTTGGACCTTATAGATTTGCTCATCATCATAAGGCTAAAGTGGAGAAACATATTGATGAAATGTTGTCCTCTTCTATTATTCAGGTGAGGAAAAGTCCTTTTGCTTCTCCATGTTTACTTATTAAAAAGAAATATGGAACTTGAAGATTTTGTGTGGATTATAGGAAATTTAATTATGCTACAGTTAAAAATAAGTTTCCTATTCCTATAGTGGAGGATTTGTTAGATGAATTGAATGGGGTTGTTTTCTTTTCAAAAATTGATTTGAGGTATGGATATTGACAAATTAGAATCAAGGAGGAATATATTTACAAAACTGCTTTTAGGACTAATCAAGGACACTATGAATTTAAAGTAATGCCTTTTTGTCCTTACTAATGCTCCAGCTACTTTTCAAGCTTTGATTAATGATTTGTTTGGAGCATACTTAAGGAAGTTTGTTCTTGTATTTTTTGATGATATATTGGTTTACAGTCCTAGCTTGGCAGAGCATAAACATCATCTAAGAACTGTGTTTGAGGTGCTGTTGAAAAACATGTTATATGCTAAAAGGAGTAAGTACTTCTTTGGACAGCAGCAAGTGGAATATCTAGGGCACTTAATATGAGCTGATGAAGTGGCAACAGATCCTACCAAAATTAAAGCCATGCAACAGTGGCCTTTGCCTAAAAATCTGAAAGCTATAAGAGGATTTTTGGGTCTAACTGGATACTACATAAATTCATAAGAGGATATGGGAACTGAGTAAGCCATTAACCAATATGTTGAAAAAGGATGGGTTTTATTGGTCTCAAGAAGCTATAACATCTTTTGAAAAGCTAAAGGAAGTTATGTGTAATGCTCCAGTTTTGGCTTTGCCTAATTTTGAGCAGAATTTTTTTTTGGAAACTGATGCTAGTTCTAAAGGGATTGGAGCTGTTCTTTCTCAAGCAGGAAAACCTATAGCCTATTTGAGTAAATCTTTGGGTCCTAAACATGCAGATATTTCAATCTATGAGGAGGAGTATTTGTCTATTTTGATGGAAGTTTCTCATTGGAGTCATTATCTCGAGAGTGGTTCTTTTTTCATTAAAACATATCATGAGCCCTTAAAATATTTACTTGAATAGAAGTTAACTACAACTATCCAGAAGAAGGGACTTACAAAGTTATTGGGGTTGGATTATATTTTTTCAGTACAGGAAGGGTAAGTCTAATAAAGATGCAGATGCACTCTCTAGACAATAAATAGAGTCTGGTGAATTTGTTCAAATGGGAGTTATTGTTATAACTCATACATGGGTACATGATATTGAAAAGAGTTATGAAGAAGATGTTATAGCTCAAGAAAAAAATCCCTATTCTGGTTATTAAACCAAATCAACTACATGACTGGAAATTACTGAAAGGAGTATTGTATTTCAAAAATAAGATTTATGTGGGCAGAAAATGGGACCTTAGACAAAATATAATTGTGGCTTTGTATGATTCACCGTAAGAAGGTCACTCAGGTATTCAAGCTACTTATCAGAAAATTAAGTCTTATTTTTTCTGGCCAAGAATGAAAATTTTAATTCAGGAGCATATACAACAGTGTGATGTGTGTCAGAGGACTAAAACATAACATATTTCTAAGCCAGGTTTGTTACAGCCTATTCCAGTCCCAAACAATGCTTGGGAAGTGATTATAATGGACTTCATTGAAGGTTTTCCATCTTCAACAAAGTATAATTGCATTTTGGTGGTGATTGATAAATTCACCAAGTATGCTCATTTTATGCCACTATATTATCCCTATAAGTACTAGAAGTTGCTAGAGTTTATCTTGATCAGGTTTATAAGTTACATGGTCATCCTAAAGTGGTTATTTCTGATAGGGATAAGTCTTTCACTAGTCTGTTTTGGCAGGAATTAATGAAGCAATTAGGTTCCACTACATTATTTAGTACTGCCTATCATCCTGAGATAGATGGCCAGACAGAGAGATTGAATCAATGTTTAGAACAATATTTGAGGTGTATGTGTTTCTTGAAACCTAAGACTTGGTCTAAATGGTTACCTCAGGCTGAGTGGTGGTACAATACTAACTACCACTTTGTTCTACGAATGACACCATTTGAAACTTTATATGGGTATAAAGCTCCTAATGTGACATGGACAACAAACTCTAGAGTGGAGGCAGTGCAGAATGTCATGCAACACATGGAACAGTTAAATTCATTATTAAGAGAGCAACTACTTAAAGGTACCAATAGAATGAAGCAGATGAGAGACAAACATAGAACAGACAGGGAATTTCAAATTGGTGATGAAGTTTACTTGAAGCTCCAACCATACAGACAAACATCACTGGCAATGAGAAGAAATTTAAAGTTTGTTGCCCGATATTTTAGACCCTACAAAATTCAAAACAGAATTGGTCAGTTTGCTTATAAATCAGAACTGCCTGCAAATTCGAAAATACATCCAGTCTTCCACGTGAGTTTACTTAAGACGAAAGTAGGGAAAAATGGACTTATCTCGATCGATCCTCCAGAGGTAGCGTCGGATGGACAAATGAAGATTTACCCAGCCCTTGTTTTGGATCAACGAGTGATTACAAGACAGAATCGAGCAATCATTCAATTACTCATTCAGTGGACGAATATGGGACCAACAGAAGCAACTTGGGAGTATTATACAGTATTGCGACAATAATTTCCTCAATTCGATCCTTGGGGACAAGAATCTTCTGGAGGAGGGGGTATTGTTATGATGGCAGGGAAGTTAGGGTTTGATCATGGTGATTTGGGGGAAATTTCGAAGAGAAGATTGGGAGGCAACAACAGAAATTGGGGGAAGAATTGAATGAATTTAGGGATTGCACAGGGGGCTAGGGATTGATGTTTATCTAAAGAATTGGGAATCGAAGTGAAGATTAGGGATGCGGCTGAAGGTATATGCGAGGGGTGTTAGTGGGTTTATTGTGATAACCCATTTTTAATTATTGTTGGGCTTATAAGTTGGGCTTGAGTCTGTTAGAACAATATTAGGAGAGAAGTGGGAATGGTGAGTCAGCTTTGGGGCGGTTATTTTGTTAGAGATGTTGTTTTGACAGCTAGTACTATATATATATAATTTGTACCGATCTTTTAAAGGATTATCTTATGAATGAAAGCACATTTTCTGTATCTAAGTCTCTCTATTTCTGAAATCCCTAAATTTCTTCTATTTCTCATCCTAAATCATAACACCGACACACTCAAATCTGAGTAACACAGACTTGATGCCTTGCTCTATTTAGTTTATCAAATTTTCTTTCTATGAAATCCTAAAGCTCTTGTCCTAGACTCATGATTGACTGTATGTGACCTTTACATTTCAGATGCATCCGATTGAGGGTAAAGTGGCCAGCATGAAGTTTGATTCAAAAAGTTGCAGCCTTGCAGGATCTCAGCTTACCACGGAATCGTGAATTTACCCGGATCAGGTTTTACGCCCTAGCCACCTATGTTTATCCCTTCTCTTTATTTCTTTTAAAGTATCCATATTCGATACACGTGTGACACACATATTCGAGTATGGGTGTGGGGAAAAAAGAATACACTTGTATTTGTCAGCTACTCTCAGTCCAATTAATATTGCCAGGTGGGAGTAAAACTGTAAAAGTAATATATTCTTTTTATTGCTTTGGCAAAGGGTTGCATTTGTGGTATTTTTCTAAGCATTGTGTGACTAGGTTTTAAAGTGGGTGATTTTTTTAGCCTTTTTTTAAATTAATTAATTAATTAATTATTTTTGTTTTGTTTTTTAGGTTTGTTCACACTTCATAGTAAAGCCAATCCTACTTCAATTGAAAATTCAGAACATCTAAATATACATAGTTTATTATTTTTAGTCTTATTTTTCTTTTGATTCTTAATTTTCTTTGTTGTATTCATCATATTCATGTTTGATTATATTCAGACATGGACATGACTCTCTAAATACGTATGAAAAAGCTTAGAACATTGACACTCGAGTTTAAGTAACTTAGAAGATAACTATAGGTGAGCATGGCTGATCTTGAAACTAGATCCACGATCAATCATGGAGGGTTAGTTCCAAAGTTATCAAGTAAATTTTGTCGAGCGTTTAGTTTTTTTTCTCTGCGAGCAATTTAGAGTTTAGGTTCTCGATATCAGTAGGGCGTTCGGGAGGGGTGCTCATTGTACGGAATAAGAATACCTTCCAAGTTTCCTCTTATCAAGTTCTCCCTGATATTGTGACGATTCGGGGTAAGCTGACGAGCGTGGATGGGTGCACGGTGATGGTTAATGTTTATGTCCCGAATAATGAATCCGATCAATGTCGGTTGTGGGATGCATAAGTTAGAGAACTGAGTGTGCGAAGATGGTAGCCGGCTCAGGGGGTTTCAATTGGTTCATTGATGCTTTATCAAGTGGTGATGCTTGAAGTTCTCCATGGCATTTCTTACAAGAAGCTTCGATGATGATGATATCGGTTTCCACGAAGGTGATCTCTGTTCTTGTTTGTACCGCTTTTGAACAGTGTGGATCCATAAATATTTTTTAAGAGGACATATATATAACATAAATTTTTCGTATTGGATAAATACTATGGATCTAAAAATATTTTTTTAGGATGACACATATATAACAGAAATTTTTCGTAGAGAATAAATACAAATAAAATAAAATAATAAAATTTTAGGTACACCAACAGTAAAATTCAAAATTAATTCGGATTCTAAGGGTGATATGTTGGTCCTTGCAATATAAAAAATTCAAAATCATTTTTTATTTCAATGCACACGTAGGGCAACTAAAAAAAACAACTCGATCTGTCGCCGCTTAAGATTAAATATTTCCATAATGATTTTTTACAGTAATTAATTTAAAAAATTGCTTTAATTTATTTTAATGCGAATGACCGAATAAAAATAAAGACTGGATTAAAATACTACAATTTAAATTAATTATTAGTTAGTTTAGTAGGATGATATTAAAAAATATTGGGAATAATTATTTATAATCTTTATTTAAATTAATCTGAATTAATCTTACTCATCTAATAGTTATATTAATTTTTTTTTTTGTGAAAAAAAGAGAGGAATTAGTGGTCATGGAAAGTTACATATATTGAAGTAGTAACTTGTTATGCAAGGTAACATGAAACGGAAGGCAATCTTACAAGACCCTTCCCTTTTATTCATCCCCTAAACCTAATTTCTCAGTACCAAGCTCAAGGATCCACGACAAAACCCATGGCGGACAAAGCTCTACCACTCTTTTATTACTTACTACTTAGGTTACCTACAAGATTGTGGCATGCATTACATTGGCTTTGGTTTTAAGCTTCGTCCCTTCTCTCGGACCTTGAAGAAGTGAAGAAATAGGTGTCTTGGTTGTTAAACTTGACCTTCCTTGCATCTTCTTTCGAGATCTGATATGACGCCGCAACGACTTCCTCCGGGAGTGCTCGAATGGCGGAGACTCGTCCAGCCATCGGGGTGTTGGTGGCCTGGGAGTTGGTGAAGAAGGAAACCCATTCGGCTCCTTCGCTGCCTGCTCGTTTCATGAAGGCGAAGTTTTGCGGCACCGTTAGTAGCTGCCCTTGCTCCACGTTATCGTCGAAGACGGTGTCGCCGTTTTGGTTAACCACTTGGATTCTGGCGCGGCCTCTCAACATGTAGAGTATCTTGTGGGCGTTGATGCACCATTGTGGAACGGTACCAGCTCTCTGATTACAGTAAATACAATGTTAAATGTTTATGTGATTCGATATTTGATTGAATGTGAAAATTTTTATTGGAGCTTACATTGTAGAGAACGCCCCTTTCGGCGCTGAGGCCGAGTGCTTGGAGGATGGGGAGGTTATATCCGTTGAGAGTTGAAATACGACCGGCTTGAGGGTTGAAAATGTCGGCACGTTCAGGGTCGGCAATGTTCTCCTTCATTCTCATGGCGCAGAATGTTTCCTCAAGGCCGTTGTCTCTTCCGCCGCGTTGGCGTTCACGGCGTCTTTCCTCTTCCTGGCGCTCTTCACGCTCTTCCTCCTCCATTCTCGGTGGTGAAACCACGTCGAGTCTGTCCTTGACTCTAATGATGCTGCCTTTGTTTCCTCGGACCTCTTGGAGTCTCCTAATGAGGCTGGTGTCGACGTTGAAAGCTTGAGCCAAGAACTCGCTGTCGAAGGCGCACAGAAGGTTGTTGCATGACGAGCTTTGCTGCTCGCGGCTGTGGGGACTCTCCCTCCGGCTTCGGCTGGGGTTGTCTTGTTCTTCATCCTCATCCTCTTCCATCTCCTCCCTCTCACTTCTACTTCCCTGCATCTTCTGCTGTGCAAATCTCCTTAGTCTCCTCTGTTCCTCTTCTGGGTTACCAGCAAGATGGAATCTCTGCAACATTATACAAATCGATCATCAAAAACGTCAGAAACTTGAAAAATTTTCGTTTTTGCTACCATGAATGAATGAAAGAGAGAATATGAATATATATATATATACTCTAGGATTGTCGTCGAGCTGATTAGCGCTGTTGGCAGTGTGAAGGAGGTTGACAGTAACAAGGCGCTCATTGCCATCATTGTAGAACCAATGCACGACGCCGGCCGGTAATGCGATGACGTCGCCCCGGCGGAACCGCCGGATCTTCTGGTGCTGGTCCTGAAGCCTTCTAGGACTTTTCTGCCCTTGTCCTTGCTGTGATTCCTGGAATGTTTCAGCACATCCAGGAATTACAGTGCCTTGAATACCCCTTCCTGTAAAAACATTATTTATACCGACGATAATAAGATTAGTGACGGATTGTTTTAATTTTAGCGACGGTTTTTAGGGTTTCAATTTGAATGTAATACAGTACCTTGGACAATGTAAACAAGCTGAGGAGCATTGGTGAAGGAAGGCAAGATGAGGCCATTAGGTTCAACATTTTGCCTTAGTACAGAGACACCAGCACAACTGAGCTGTTGGCTGTTGGGGTTCCACCACTCGGTGGTGCCAGCTTCGGATCGAATTCGAGACGTCGGTTCGATGGAGTTGAGCCTATTGATTTGGCACTCATTTTGGGACTGGAACTGCTGCTCCGACGAGGGGTGAGCCAGGCAGCCATTGAAGAGCAGAAGGAGAGAAAGTGAAAGAGAGAGCAAAGAAGGATTATTCGCCATATCTATTGATTTGTAAGTATTTTGTGATGAGAAGAGTAGATGGAGATGGGGTATTTATAGAAGAAAGAGGTCAGGGTTGTTTCGACATTCTTCAATTTGCATGGCTAATTGATGCTAATGGCTTACACATCACTACATCAGGTAGGGCAGGTGGCTCAAAGTATCTCTCAAAACCTACAAAACCATATACCTGAAAGAGCAACCATCCAAAACAACCGTATGAGTATGTTTTGAATATGTAATTTAAACTTATAATTCTTCTCTATCCAAAAATTGAAAAATATTAAATATTCAAATACATTCAATCATAAATTTTCTACTAATAAAAATATTAATCAAATCAAATTAATAAAAATAATTACAATGTCGACACAATATATATAAATTGCTATATGAATAGGGGTGAAAATGAATAAAGTGTTCGATGAATAATTTGTGAACTATTAGTATAATGTTCGTTTATGTTCATTTGTTAAGCTCAATAAACGAGTATGAACAAAATTTTTATGTTTATTTGACAAACAAACGAATAAAAACAAAGGTGTGTTCGGTTCGTTTATAAGCTATTTTATCGACTTGTTTATTTATGTTCATGAACAAACTTGTTTATAAGCTCCTTTTTTTTAATTTTAAACATTGTTGAATGTAAGGACTATATTGAACACATGGTGGAATTTGAAGTTTAAAGATTGTATTTTTGTTGTTGTTGTGGATGTTATATAAGATTTATTTAGTTGGTTTTGTTTAATTTCTGAATATACGAACGAACATATTCACAAACGTTAAACAAACATATTCGCTAACATTAAATGAACAGACACGAACGTATTCAGAAATAAATATATGAATATGAATATCTTTAAAAATGAACAAACACGAACGTATTCAGAAATAAATATACGAGTATAAATACCTTTAAAAATAAACAAACAAATACGTATACAACCTTATTTATTCAAATTTAATTCATTTACAACCCTATATTTATAAATCTGATAGGAATGTTTAGATATATATGTTAATGTGAAAAGAAATAGTATTTCACCAACACTGGAAAAATAGGATTATATCATTTATTCTTTTAATAATTTTTTTTATTAATATGAGGTAAGTACAAATTATTATCTATTTTCTTAATTAAATTTAAAAAGTAAATAATAGAATACTTAGAATATTTTAATATTATCTATAAAAACTTATTTACGTTGAATTGACATAAGATTATATATTACATATAGATTATATTGGCATATATAAGTACAGTTTGTAAAATCCAAAGGGATCTGAAAGTTCAGGTGATGGTCACGTGAAAGTGTTTATAGATTGGTTCAAATTATAAATAGATTGATATCATTTAAAGAATATTTTAAATTTGAGTTTTTGTGTATGTAAAAAAAATTATTAAGAGGCTCACCTATTA